AAATGATAGAACTGTTGGAGTATTACGGATATCAGGATCCAATGAGTTAAAAAATTTAGGACCTTGGTATTTTATAGTGAACTGTTTGGTCTTAGTTCTACAAAATGGAATATAGAATTGACCAGCACTACGTAAGTTGCGAGTGTGGACTTGATCAGTAGTTGAAAAAAAATTGATAAAGCTTTGTGGGAGGAGATTACTTTTATAAGAAAACATAAACTTACCCAAATTCAAGAAATATATATCATTAAATTTGAGTAAATTTAAAGATTTGAATAAGGGTGATGTATGAGCGTCAAACGTTACATTACATAATATTCTAATGACTTTTTTCTGAAGTAAAATGAGGCGATTAAGATTGGAGGGATATGTCGAGCCCCATATCGTAATACAGTAATTAAAGTAAGGATAAACAAGTGCAAAGTATAGTGTACGCAAAGCAGAACGGGTGAGGCAAAAGCTTGATTTGTAAATGATCCCGATGGATTTAGATACTTTACTCGCAATATGAGAAATATGAGACTTCCAGCACAAATGCTCATCCAAAATTATACCCAAAAAGGTGGTTTCTTTAACTCTTATTAATTTATGATTGTTTATTTCAACAGATAAATCAAGCATCTGCCTCCTTTGCCGAGGCGTAAAGATTATATAACTAGATTTCTTGATATTAATAGTCAATCTATTGGCAAGAAACCATTCAGATAGATTCTTCATTTCGTTTTTGATGACATTATCTAAGGCTGATAATTCACTATCAGAATAAAATACATTAGTGTCATCAGCAAACAAAATGAATTCGGAGATCATGGAGGCATTACATATGTCATTCATATAGATCAAGAATAGTAGAGGTCCAAGGATTGACCCTTGAGGTCCAAGGATTGACTCCAAGTTGCTTTAATGTTGGATTTATTAGATTCCAGCTTCTCCTCATAATAAAAACGTTTGGAGGTACGTAATACATGAGTAAGCCTGTTTTTATACTTTTTGTACCTATCCTCATTTAGAGGAGTAGGAACACGTAGAAATTTCTTGTACAACTTATTTTTTTTTCTTATGGACTTGTGGATACCCTTGGATAGCAAGGGCTTATTTTTGAACCTTGCTGCTTTAATTCTTTTCAAGGGAAAGGCGGTATTATATATACGCATGAACTCAGAATGAAAACTATCATAAGCATAATTTGGATCATTGTATCCCTCAATATCAGACCATCTGTGATTTCTGAGAAGGTCTTGAAATTTTAACGAGTTAGTCTTACTCCTATCACGGAATGTTACATATGCTGAAGCGTCACCATAATTTTCAACTGATTGATCACTAAAATAGCCAAAAATTGGTAAATGGTCAGAAATATCGGTGAATAATAGACCGCTAAATGAATAAGTTTCTAGATTGTTTGTGAAAATGTTATCAATGAGAGTAGCAGAATTAGATGTAATGCGAGTAGGCCGAGTAATTAACGGGAAAAACATATTGGAGTACATAATATCGAGAAATTCACCAGTGCGTTGGTGGCTATGATAATTTAATAGATTCAAATTAAAGTCACCCATTATGTAGCAAATTTTCTTTTCTTTAGAAATAATAGAAATTAGTTGGTCTGTATTGTTAATAAACTCATCAACAATTTCATTAGGAGGCCTATATATAACTCCAACAATAATATTTTTCCCGTTTGGTTTATGAATTTCAACGAACATACTTTCAGCACATGCTGTATCGTCAAAAGCAAGGTCATGACGTAAATGAAATTGAAACTCATTTGCTAAATAAAGACCAACGCCTCCACCTATTTTATTGGGCCTATAATTATGTACGAAATTAAATCCGTCAAGACAAGCATGGTGCTCATCCTGGCGAAGCCAAGTTTCCGAAACGCCAATAAAAGAAAATTGATGTTTAATAATTGCAAGCGAGTTTAATAAATTGTCAAAATTCCGAGTTAAGCTTCTAATATTTAAATGGAGAATCGAAAGACAGTTGTTGTTTGGCAACGCTGCCTTGGTAGACAATAAGTCGCTTAATTTGTGTTCAGTGTAATAATCGCAGCTTTGGGATACATGAGAATAATAATTAGTATCCGCATCTAAGTCACCCCAAATGGCAATATTACTGTTGTGATCAAACAGCAACGGATTAAACACCAGTGAGGATAACCTATCTTCATCAAATCGTACCGGGCCGTTTTCAAACTCATATAACACCAGATCAAACTCGTCATCATCAAGATGACTAAAAGGAAAATTGAGCATTACAGACATATTGAACCAAAAGATTATAAATTACACACGATATAATAAAAGTAAAACTTATCTTGAGTCCACTATGGTTGTCGTTGTTGACGAGAGTTAAGGCCAGCTTAAATTGATCAAAGTCTTTTAGAGTGGAGAAGGAAAATACTTGGGAAGAAGGAATGGCATCTTTCTTTAAAAAGACTTTTCCATACTTCGTCCAGACGTATTTGTAACGATTCTCACGTTTATACTCTTTAACTTTCCATAAAAATTCACGAGATTTTTGCGTCAGGCTTTCGTTGATATAGATACAATGTTCTTCAAGAAATCCAAGGTCAGCTGTAGATTTTGTCGACAGGTTACGCCTCATGTAATAAATTTTATCTCTTATGTCTCTACGGACGAATGTAACGATAATGGGGGGAATTTGACCCTGGCGCGAGGGTAAACGATGCCGGACTGATTGAAATTTCGTTTTGGTTGAATGCCATTGAATGGTCGGCGAGCTTAACAACCTTTAATATAATTTCGTTCGTATTTTCGCCTTCCGTGACTGGAATGCCGTGGATTTCCAGCATGTCTCTTCGGATATATTGTTTTAAGTTTTCTATTTCGCCTTCGGAACATCGGTTTTCTCCTCTAGCAGCTTTACTTTTTCGATTAATTGCAGATTACTTGTACGTAATTCGGCGTTTTCGGCTCGAAGCTCACTCATAGAAGTGGCCAAAACATCAAATTTAGAGCCTAGATAGTCCTGGCTTTGTTTAATTTCATCCAAGTCATTTTTGGTCGATCTCGAGAATGTTGAGAATAAGTCATTCAGCTGGTCAAACTGTTTTCTAAGGCGACTGTCCAATATTGCTTCGAGTGTAGCTTTCTCGTTCGGTGATGTCGCACTTTCAGCCATGCTTTCACCATCAGAATTTTCATGTTTTGACGTATTCCTGTTCTTCTTAGGCGGCATTTGATTTTACAAATGTTAAACTAAAGCTTCCACTAGCTTAAACTATCGTGACTATGCTGTCTATATGACTGAGCGGAGCATGAAAGCATGCGTCCACCCACCGTGACTGCTGTGACTGAATGTCAAAGTGACCAGTGACCGATATATGGCATCAGATTTTCTCAACAAAGGCCGAATGTTCGAGGGGGGGGGGGAGATTATGGGAAGGTGGCGATACTCTTGAAAGGCTAAGTTTGGTTGATGATGATGCAAAATGGGAGGAAGTTCCCATAAAGTTACCCCGGAAGTTTTTTTCTCAAGTCAGCTAGTGTTGTGTACAAGAGTGAAGTTATTGTTATTGGAGGCGAGAGTGGTCTTTTTGCAAGCCGAGATATTTAACTTTAACCTTGTGTTCCCAACAGAAAATTTATCAATAGCGTTTCCTATGTTAGGAATAATTTCCTGCTGAATTTCCATCATGGCCAAGCCAAGCCATGTAAGTGGTCTTCAACCATAGTACTCACTTATGGTCTTTAAGGGCCTGTTTATATGGAAGCGGGCTGGCCCGCTTAGCGAGACAGCCCGGTAAGTGGGATGAATTTCTATTGTGTTTATACGAGAAAATGTCATCCCGCTTGCAAGGACAATTTGTTGTTTTAACAACTGTCAACAGTTGTTAAAAATAGGTACGCAATGTGTACATGTTGCAAGCCATTAGTCAGTCACAGCAGGTGCATGAGGTTAACTATAAACTTGCTAAAAGTGTTGGTGTTTGTTGGCATAATTTGTATGCCCTTTTCACCTCTGTGACCGAAATTTGTTACTGCAACATTCAGAGCGTGGACTTTCTTATTATTATTGTGGCCCAAATGCACATGGGCTCCCAGTTTGCCTCTACAAGAAACTGATTGGTTTTGTTGTTGGGTCCATGGTACTCCTCTAAATAGAGTTTGCCTCAACTAGAAAAAGAACATTCGCTATGCTTCAACTAGAGAAAGAACAGTGGCATAGCTAAGGTTGAATGTTTTTTTTTTGGGGGGGGGGGTTACGTTAGTCGCGTGACTAATCTGACTACCCCTAGATCCGCCCCTGAATTGACACTCAAGAGAAACTCATTGAACCTCCACTCATTGAGTGTGAGTGTGAGTGAGCTTTTAGAATATGGGCGTTAGTCTTTGTATTTTAGACGCAGACATGAGATTTTTGTTGAATAGGAGGTCAGAACGTGTCTCTAACTGCCTATACGAGAACAAGTATTTGCTATTTATTGTTATTATTTCATCTTATATGATCGGCCCTCAAGTGCTAAAACTGATGTAGCCCCTCCGGCTAATATGATAACCAATTGTCTCGATTGTTCTCCATTTACGTATAATTTGCGTTGTGTATTAGCGTCTATTCGACAATCGAGAACAGTAAGCGGAAGTTCTTTCGATAATGTAGTTGCAAGTAATGATGGTCGATCCACACAAAGGTTTTAGACATGCAGAAACCCTCGCCTTGCTGACAAAACCATTATATTTTCCGAGCAGGAAGTATTCAAAGTAGTTGTCAAGGTAACACAATAATTTTATTAGGAATATTTTTAAAATCTGGAGATCGATTCGAAACCGAATTGAAACTGGTGCCATCGGTCCTGGTGGGTCCCAGAGCTGGAACATCAAACCAACAATCATTCGTTCCGTGCAACATCTGCATTCACCGTCTCTCCCTTTAAAGCAATACTATCAGTGTTCTTATCCCGTTGATAATTCAACCGAGTCACTGGATCCTCGTTGGGAACTTGATCAATCTCCGGGCTGTTACTGTGCCACGCTTTAACGGTAAACTTGCTTAATGGTAAAATTGCGAAAAATTGCATCGATACCATGGATAACTTCTTTAGCTTTCTCTGGTATTGTCTTCAAGCCAGCGATGTCATCCACATAAGTATGATCCTTCAGAATCCTTGCTGCTTCTGGAAATTTGACTTGGTCGCTATCAGCAAAAAGGTTAATGACATTGATGGCAAGGTCAGGGGCCAGTTTGTCCCCATTTTGTTCTGTTTCTATCTAATCAAGACATCAAGGAGATAATTCATAAGGCATAGACCTTTTTCAAGAGCATCATTGAGTGAAATCTGTCCATTTTGGCTGCTGCATCATCAAAGACCAATCTGCACTTGGTAGTCTTGTCTGGACTTTTGACTTCTCCAATCGATAGATACCACTCTGGCTCGTTTAATTTCGATTCTTCCGTCGTTCAAAACTTTGGTGGACTCCCGAACATGTCTAATGAACGCACACTCGTGCATTTTCCTCTCAGAACATGTACAATGTCGAGTCGCTTTCATTCCCAGTTGATCTTGGAAAATCGATTTCTTTATGACCTGGTTTTTGCTATTTCATCTACAGTTTCTATGGCAAAGATTCCAGGTGCACCTTTCTCTTCAAGATGATCAACGACTGACCAACCAAAGATGTTCTTCTTTGCAATTGACTCACCAGGGTTACCCGTTAGAAATTTGAATTAAAGTTACGATGAGCTTCAGGCAGATCTGTTCCCAATAGAATATTCACTGGACGTCTGGATCCGCCCTCAAATGCAGCTCTTCTACAATGCAAACTAAGTGTGGAAAATGGGCTACCGCTTTCTTTGAAACAGTTTTGGCTGCATAGCAAGGCTTTTTTACTGAGTAGGCTTTCACATTAATTAAACAGTGAAGAGGAGGACTTCCAAGCCAAAAGCCTGGAAATGAGACACTTTTTTGTCCAACGTGGCTATCCCACCTCTTCATCGACACTGCCTTTTCGAAGGCCTCCCAAGACCCTTACAGAGCCTGTGTCCAATGTCGTAGGCAACAATAAAATCCCCCTAGTACTAACTTATCATCCTTTCAATTTCAATATTAGAGATGTCATTAGGAAGAATGTTCATATTTTGAAAAAAGACCCCGAAACATCTTCCATTTTCTCCAATAACCCCTTAGTCTCAGTAGCGTAGCCAGACCTTCATTTTCGGGGGGAACGGACGCTAAAGGCGTGAGACCGTCTGGGGATCCTAGACGGTCTCACGGGGGGGATTTTGAAATCTAGAGTCCCTCAAATGCCATTTCAAGCATTTTTGGAGTGAAATCTTGCACACTGATTCCGATGACTATAAAGTACATCGAAGACATGAATTTTCCCAGACATTTCTCTTCGGAATTAAATAAGTTGTAAAAGTCACCTTGAAAAACAGGAGGAGGGGTCAGTGTCACCTTATTTCCCCCATGTGATGCTGGGGATCCCAATGTGATTTTGATCAGAAATGTTGCATTTAAATAATTCTAGGTTTTATGAGACCATTTCCACATTCTCAAAATTGCATTGCTTTTTTATACGATGCAGAGTAAGTCTATGTATTTAGCAGTTAAAAATATAAACTAAATCCATTCTACTTGGGACCATATCTACAACTGCTTTTACAAATCAAAATCATCCTTAATTTTTACCTTATTCCATACTTGTTTCATATATTTTGTTGTATTTGCTGTTGTTTTTTGCATATTCCAGACAAAGGGCCTTAGGCGCTTGAAACGTCGAAATTTTCCTTATATTTTTCAATTACTTGCAACCCTACCAACGAAAGTTTGTTAATATTATTGGCACTACCACATAGCAGGGTGAAATCTTTAAATAAAATTCCGCCGAATCTTCAACTCTTATTCCACCACCTGTAGCATACATCTTCATCTTTTTTGTTTCTCCAACCAAACCGAGCTTGTCCGCGAACTCCTTTCGAATCAGACTCTGATTGGAACCACTATCGATCGACCATGGCAAGTCCTTCAATAGCATATCCATTAGCGCTGTGCACTTTAGCCTTTTGGATTGGTACATTTGCAGTTCTTGCACTATTAGCTGAAATAGCACCTCTTTGTTAGCTTCCAGTCCGTGCGGCTTGAATGACGTTACGTATACATTGTGCTTCAGGTTGCATTTGTCATTTGGTTTTGGATCTTTATGCAATTGGTAATTGTGTGATTTTCTACAGCTGTTGATATCACATGCTTTTCGTGAACATTGTTGATGTCTGTGTCCAGTTTTCAAACATTTTTTACATCTTTTGGACTGAATCACTACTTCCCATTTTCCCTTCACTTTCATTTTCTTAAAAACCGGACAATAACCTAAACCATGTATTTGGGACCAACTAAGACCACACCCAGGGGTATCATTGTAAGCACCGTCCACATTAAGGGGGATAAAATCCAACGTTAAAAAGCCGTTGATTAGTTTGACTACTTGCCATTAATTTCGACTCTTCCTCTAAATACTCCAACAGGGAGGTTTTCACCCTTCTTTGTATTAATCATACTCCATATGCTCTTTGATCTTCTGCCATTAATTTTGCCAGAATATCAGCAAACACATATTTACTTTTCGCTTCATCAGATGCTCCAACATCCACCATCCTGAGGATAAATCCACGGACTGCTGCGACAAAATTTCGAATCGACTTTGTATCTTTGACCTTCAAGGGTTTCATTGTTTTGATATCATTCGTCTAAATCCTGATCAACCCCTTGTCATCTCCAAATGATTTATCGAGGAATGCCCAGATTGCTTTGGTCGTTGTAAAGCATTCAACTTCATATGTCGGGGGGGGGGGGGGGGGGGGTTGTAAATCTAGGATGAATCTTGCAAGTTGACTTACCTCATATTAACCATTTTTCTTCCTAGTAACTTCGAATATTCTTTTCCATGTTCGATAATTCTAAATGTTGCCAGAAAATTGCGGTACTTTGATTCTCTCCAGATTGGACTTGGGTTTGGATCTCAATTCAGTTCGGTGTTTCTTTTGATATTTTATCCATTTCAAATTTCTTTCGATAGTGTTATAATTTGGCGTGCAATCACCATGCATATTTTGCAATGATTCCCGTAATAAAACAATCGTAGTTTGTAGAACTTCTCTTACTGCTTTATATTTTTCTTTGACTTCGCTAAAATACACTTTTGAGTCAACTCTTCAATTTTGACCATCGTTGATGTGATTTTTAATCTCGATATCGAAAGTGTTTGGAATATATTATTGATCTGCCATATTTCGCCCAAAATAGCTTCCCATTTCGCTCTAAAATCAAACTATTTTGACTGTTGTGAACACTTTTCGCAACAAAGACACAAACGTTTGTAAGGTTTTATATTATTTTTGTCAACTCCTATCCCATGACTTTCAATTTTTTAGAATATTGTGCCTGTGTACCAGAGCTGTATACTAACAATTTCATATCGATTTATTCTCCAAGGGGTTTCGGCCACCAGAACTATTTCAAGAAAATGTTCGTCTAAAAAGCAAAATCGAAGAAATAGAATTGGGTCAACGTAAATCTGATAAAACAGATGGTGGCGAAACATGGCCTTCAGTGTATAGTCATTTCATGAAAGTGAAGGTATATTATGAATAATTAATACCGGTTTTTAACAGTACTTGCATCTCAATGCCTTACACAAGTGAACCCTTTGGATAACATTTGGCATAACAATATCATGCAATCACGATATAGTGATAACTTAGTGATTGAAACGTGCCATTGTCTTTATGTTGTTTTGAAACTTACACTGTTTTTCACGCTATCCCATCACAATCCCGTGATCAGAATGTTCTATTGTCTTTTCATTGTTTTCAAAATCCTGCTGTTCTCTATGTCATCATTAATTAACGATCCAGTGAATGGAATTAATATTCGATTGTGTTTATACAGATTTTTGGAAATTCCACTGTTTCTCCGTCCATGCTATCCAGTCACTGTTAGTGTTGAGTTATTTGCGACTTCATAAGGAAAGGGCCTATAACTACCTGATCAAAATCCGAGTGACCCCTCGTCTCTTGATGGGAGAAATAATCAAGTGATCATTAATACCAGACGATAAACATACAACAAAACACAGAAAAACATCTTTGATTATAATTGACATTAGCCAAGCATCTTATTCTGAGTTTATTATCGGTATAAATATCGCTTAGATGCTTAATCTATATATACTTATGCAGTCGAGAATAATTAACCATGCGTGTCATATTTTAGGTATGGAAAAGATACGTGAAATGTCTTCTCATTGGGATACTCATAACAGCAGTAGTGTTTCTTTCATATTTCATCTGGAGTGCAGTTTCACTAAATAAAAGGTGACAATCTAGGGATGAATGAATTGGCATCGTAAGTGATGGCAACAAAGAAAAAGTTTTCTTTGTTGCCATCACTTACGATGCCAACAATCGAAAAAATCGCTTTGTATAACCAAGCAACAATTACACTTATTTGTTACAGTAGTTTTGTATATGTCAATGTATAATAAACATGGGTCCATGTGCATTCAACGTTATTAATAATGTACTTGTACTTTTGATTAGGAAGAAGACGATGGATAAGGGGAAAAGCGATCTCCATATGCATTTTGGTGAGTTGACACGGGAAGAAACGGAAGCGTTTGAAAATTTTAGAGATTTGTTTTACTCTCCTGCACATGTACATCGGTTGTTCGTTAGACTCGCGATTTCTTTTCGTGATTCACTTTACTACAAATAGCATGAATTCCGCCCTCCTTCGCGCATTAAGGCCGATTTCCATTGCAGCCGCTTTGGCCGCGCGGGCGGAGTGGGCTTTGAAAATCTGCTCACGCGGGCATGACGATCGTCAAAAACAATGAACGCCTCGCCCGCGCTGGCAAGGCGGACGTTAATGGAAAACGGCCGTTAGGCGCGAAGCCTCTGCACGATTTGCGTCACAAAGTGAGACAAAGTGTAACATCGAAACAAAAGGTGATTTTTAAGCTAAATAACATACGCCTTTTTAAAAATAAAATCATAATTTAATGCATGATTGATTGATTGACATCATTGACTAGTGCTTGCATCTTTGTGGATAGTCAAAAGTAATAAGATTTTTTAACATTACACAAAGCAAAACAATCATATATTTTACTCACCGCTTGACTAAACATTCTGTATTTTATATCGAGAAAAACTTGAATATCTCTTGAACTCTTCGGAATTCGCCACAAGTCAAAGAAGTAAAATACTCCTTGTATACAAGCGCTTTCGTGTAGAAAATTTCGTTTGAATACGGCCAGTAGAAATATTTATTTTTAATTTTTCAAAATATCGGGAGTAGTGTTACCCCCCACTCTGGGTACGGAAGTAATTAGTATGCAGAGCTTGTCGCCTCATTATGTATTCATTATGTCTTACTCTTTCACGATCTTCATCCCAAATTATATATTCATACATAAAAAGCATGAATTATGGCTACGTCACATTATGTATTCATTCCGAATGCCGTCCGAAGGTGACGTCATCCCGACCCGTCGCCGACTTTCCCCCAAGCATGACCGAAGATTATTTTTTTAATATTCATTGCCTCGAGTGTTAGACTTAAGATCTATTGTGCGGCCAAAAGTGCAGGGATTTTCTCGTTCAACACATTTGTAATAAATTTAATAATAACACATTTTGTTGGCTTTTGCTAATGTTTCTATACAGTCGTCGTCTCTACATTTATGTGCTATATTAGATACACGACAATGAATATGACAATATGTTCGCATGTAGGAAAGACAATATACAAACTCAACAACACACACACACAATTATAAAAGTTTGCCAGTTCAGTACATTTATCATGTTCACATGTTATGTTCCACATTTTTACTATTTCTTGAACATCAAACAGTTGTCGATCCAGTTCAAACAAACATCTGTCACACCTGGCGTCCTCAAAGTCTATAGTACTTTCTCTTCTCGTATAATGAAGTGGTAGTTCTGTAGTTATCGGGTCAAATTCTTCACATCGTTCACATTTTCTGGCATGGTATTCCATCGCTTTACCTTTTTTTGACACATCAAAAATTATATCTAGGTTATCCAAACACTGTCGATAAAAGACTGTGCTGGGATCAAATGTTTGGAAAATTTTGTAGCGAAGCTAACATGGGACGCTAATTAAAAAGCGATTACTTTTGTGATAAAAATGCTGACCTCAGCTTAATGACTTTCTTGCTCAGGCTCGCCTTGCATATCATTATTAGTTCAGTAACGTTGGTAGGAGTGTGGGCCTATACAGTTTTTAGCGAAAAAAGTCATTAAATGCAACAATGCCGCAATTATTCATTGCCTTTCATATAAATACGATGATCACTAAACCTTGAACAAGTCTACAGAGAGATCAATGTTACAAACTTTGGTCGTGATTATTGCCTATTTAAATTAACTTTCGTATGTTTACAAAATGGTAGCGAGCCAGCGAGGAATCTATTTGTCACAACGAGCAATGTTAATAAATATATCAAGCGAAGTAAGCACATGCACGCATTTCTATGCGTTGTTATGTTCGCTATTTACATACACCTGGCCTAAGGTCATTAAACGATCATTAGCGATAAGATGCGCACAATGTACATCATAATAGGGATATTGAAGGATAATACCGGGCTATTATAAGCGTGGACACAGAGCGCGGACATAAAATAGGCAAAAGCACATGATTCCATTTTTAGAACACATTTATTTATTTCTTCAGAGGCGCCGGAATATCGATAATTGCGGGGGCAGATATTCATATATTCATGTTCACAGACTGTAAAAACAATTGATTTCAAAAGAAATTAATTGGGCAGAACACGAATATATGAATATCTGCCCCCCCCCCCCAATTATCGATATTCCGGCGCCTCTGTATTTCTTTATGTACTACAAAGTTAATAATTCTTGTCTGTATAAATATATTATCCACTTAAGAGTTTTGCCCCGTTTTTGTTTCTAACTTTAACCGCTCCTTTGAGCCATCATTCATTTCTCTATTGTCCACGTTCTTTGCAGATTTTGTATTTGATTTTGTTCTCCAGTTCCTGGAGGATTTTGGTTGACGGATGGGTATATTCTTTATCCCGCTTTTATTCCACTTTGACTGCTTTTTACTGTTCCCAATTAATCTGTACAACTCTACTAAAACATTTTCTAAGTCTAAAGCTGTTGGCTTAGCACGAATAAGATAAGGTTGTCTTTCTTGGGACGAAAGTTCATTGACGTCTGCCAAATGGTTTGCCAATCTTTTTAAAGCTCGCTTGCCGCAGATGGGACAAACTTTACACTTCCGAGGCATAATGTCAAATGATAAATGTCAACTGATTTCCTAACATTAAATAGTTGTGGCCCTAAAGGCCGAAGGTTTGCCGGGACTTGGGAGAGGGTTAGAGAAATGGGTTAGGGGAAAATAGCTACCACACAGGTCGTATTTTATTTTATTTTATTTTATAAATCAAACACAACCGACCATTAAGAGTCAATGTCACTAGGGGACCATGTGTTTCCGAAAAGTATTTTCAAAAGAAATTTTCTCTTGTCAATAGCGGCCTCTAACGCTTCCCTGCATGTGGTCGATATTATCATCGTTGACAAAGACATCCCTGGTTTCCATAATCGTTTTGTCTACTGGATCCCTCTTTAGTTGTCTTATCCATAGTAGACGTTCCAGATAAATATTCTGCAAATATTTACGACGTTTTGGTAGGGTAAGTAAGTATGCCTTGTCTTTAGCTTCGTTTTCGTCAAAACCTTCTGCAGTGAAATTCTGCGTTAGTACTTCGAATTTCGATAAACTTTGTTGGGCTGTTTCAGCTTTTAAAGGAGTCCATGGATCGCTTTCGTATTCATCACCTACTTCACTACTAGTATCATCTACATTATCAGAATCACTTTCTGACGCAGAATCAGTTTCCACTTCGTTGTCAGTGTTATACGAATTCTCAACATCGCTCTCTGATATAGCACTATCAGAGTCTGCAGCCGTTCTCATTCTTTTCATCTTTACACTGAAATCTGTAGTAGGTTTCCAACAGTACTGTATTTCCTTTGTATATTGTTAGGTTGAAACAACTCCAACCACAACCAACCGGCGAATGATCAATTTTTTGAACAACATTACATTTTACGAAGTGGCCTTAAGGGACTTTTCTATGGCCTTTGTGTAGCTCTGTAGATGGAGACCTTGTCTAAAAAAAATAACAGATGTTTTCTCGCAAACTGGACATAACACTTTTTTATTTCGTAGAGCTAGTAAATAATCTCTTTGTGAGCTTGTTGCAGTTAGTATTATAAAGAGATATTTTCTCAGCCATTTTGATTTGAATTTTTCGTTTGATAATTATACGCCCCTCCCCCTGGTTTACCGCCATATTGGGTGTGGCATCGTGTAGAGGCTTCGCGCCTCTGTAATCATAGCCAACTAAAGCCTCTGCGGAGGAGAAGTGGCGTGATCTAAATGAAACCAACAGACTTCTCTTCAAACAGTACTGGTCGGAGTACTGATTTCGTACGAGGTTTTCTGCTAAACATTTATTTATCACTTATTTAGCATACTAAATAATTTCGCAACATTTTATAGGAACGAAAACTATACGACAGTGTCAAAAGTCTAGCCAAGACCCAAATCTCAGAAATACCTTTCCAGACTTGGATTACGCCTTCCTTGGTTATAATATCATCAAAGGCTATCCCAATTCTAATGGTCATGATCCTGGTTTCACTCATCAAATCTTCTCTGCTGATTACAGTGACAATCGACAGACGGGTGATTGTCGCTACAGTGTTCCAAAAGGTTTGCTAGTTATCCCGGATGTATCGTGTGTTACATCGTTTACTTCAACGGTCATACAAAATACGTTTGAGTTACACAAGTCTCTTTCTGTGTCAGTCTCGGCTAGTGGCGGATTTGGCGCTTTTAGTTTCTCTGCTAGTTCGAGTTACAAGCAAACTTCATCTGAAGTTTCATCGGGTGAAAAAGTGTACATTACATCTTCGGCAAAATGTTCTTACTATTTCAGTAAAATTGATTTAACCCAACCTCCACCATTACATCCGGGTTTTTACCGCTGGGCAAAAACACTAGAAAGAAACCATTCAAAAGCTAACTTACTAAAATTTGTAAAGTATTATGGGACACATTTCCCAACAAGTGTGGTGTTTGGAGCGAGGTTTATGAAACAACACAGTATGAGTTCGCAATCTTACAAAACAGCATCCTCGAGAGATATCAGTGTTTCAGCGCAAGCGAGCTACTCCGGCTTGGTCAGCGTCAGTGGAGGATTTAGTTTGGACAAAAGTGAAAGACAGGCAGCTTCACAATTTTCCAAAGAAGTTGAAACAACGACAATAACTGTTGGGGCAGCTCCGCCAAGCAATGGAGAAGCCGCATACTGGGCATCGACAGTCAAAGAAAACCCCGTTCCAACATCTTATAAAATTGAACCAATCTTCAATTTATTTACTAATGTGTTTATGGAAGGCACAGGTATAAATTATAATTTATTAAGAAAGAAATTAGTTGGGATTGAGAAGTTGTATTGTCAACAACTATTACATGCCGGAACTGTTAATTCTTGTGAGGAATCAGTGTCCGTTGGTATCACAATTAACAACTTTTACCTTCTGAATTCTATCTCGACGTTTGCGGCCGCTACGGAGACATCTTGTATTTCCAGATGTTTTGAAAATCGTCATTGTTTATCTATAGCTTATATATCAAACTCCAACAAGTGCCATTTCTACGGTGACGCAAACAAAAAGCATGAAATCTCGAAAGAAGCGAATGCCAAGGCAAAGATTATAATATTTCCTACAAAGATTAACGATCAGAAAACAGATTTTGTTGTGGAACATCTTCGTGTTTCAACCAAAGCCCGCCCAACAAGTAACAAAACGGTTGATGCGCAATCATGCAAGAAAGCTTGTCTACAAGATACTTCTTGCGATGTTTTTAATTTCTGCAGCGACCAGACGTCCTGCAAGGGCGAAGTGAACAATTGTAAATTGTATTCATCGAAAGCATCGGTAAAATTTGAAAAGGCTGAACAGAAATTTAAAATGCTCACTTATTTTATTTCCCGACTTTAAATTGCATTAATGGAACATAATTGGAACATAATTGATCTGAACGTATTAAATGAAATTGTTATACAGTTAGTGTCAAAGTTCAATTTTTCTGTTTGCCGATTGGTCAAAACCGTATCACGTGCTGGTCCACAAAACGTCGTGTTTGGCAACCGGTCCGCAATGAAACATTTATTGACCGGTCAATAATGAAATGGGTGCAATACGCATGCGTGTCAACCATGAAGTTCCAAAGTTAATTTTTTTAAACTTTTTACTAAACATTTACGGCGTCCCATTTGCCCAAGTTTTGGTTTCAAATTAAGTTCGCTCCAATAACCGGTGAATTATTCATACTTTGAGTCTTTGACACTTATATACTATATAACAAAACACTTATTTACTGAGACCTCGGGAAAGCAGTGTGTTTTGTGGCCCCTCGACCGCTGTTGTTGCCTCGGGCAACAACGGCGGTCTCGGGTCCACAAAACACACTGTTTCCCTCGGTCTCAGTAAATAAGTGATAACTAATTAATTGATGTGTTATCTTAGAACAATTTACTAAATAATTCAAACTGTATAATTTAGAATCAGTATCACATATGCTGGGGCACTTGGTCAAAAAAACTTTATAAACGTCGGTCCCCCTCGTCCCCTATATTCAATGTTGTATATCATTCTTCACGAAATTTGATGCATTGCGGTTCGTGAATTTGGAAAACAACATCGGTAAAGGGGAGAGAATAATGTGCCGAAACAACTGAACTGTTCGATGGATTTACAATCTAAAACTGCTACGTATACTGGCCAGACTTTTCAGTATTTGCTACCGCGGAACTGTACAAAATTCCGCTTCCCCGGTTTAGTACAAAATCCTTGGCAAAAGTGCATGCAAAGTATGAATAATAATAATATTTAGTATGAATATTGACGTTTTCGATACTTTGCGACAAGGTTAGGTATAATAATTCGATTCCTAAAAATGTACTCAAATTTTACCAAACAAATTTCATAATGTTTTCCGAAATTGACGAGATTTTGCCAAAATTAAAATATTTCGCCAAATTTGGTGAAAGTCACACCGGCT